TAACTCAACTCTAACTCACTCACTCAGCCTCATCAAGATTATCGTTTAGGAATATGAGCATGTCCACATTTCCAGGTAGAAGCTGGGATGTTTGGGCGTTTACAATATCCCCTGCTGTGGAAAAAACTCTCTTGCTTGGTACTGATGTTGCTGGGACAGAGAGATATGCTTTGGCTATGGGTGACAGCAGTGGGTCAAACTGTGCATTGTCTCTCCACCACTTCAAAAACAATACAGTTTTTGCCAAGAAGGTGAGGCTTATTGACAGGGCGAGATATAAATATACTGTTGGTACTTCTCAATGTCTCTAGGTATGTACATGTAGCCTTGTAAATACAAGTCCTTTTGTGTTATCTGTTGTTTTATGTTCATGTTGTAACCTACTTGTTACCATGTTGGACAAGTCTCCCTTGAAAAAGAGATTGATAATTTCAATGGGACCATCTGGTTAAATAAAGGTTTAAAAAAATAAAATAAAATAAAAATCACGGTAGATTTAGTCATTCTCACAACGGTATTGAGACATTTATTTATTGCAATATCGCAATATTCGATATATCGTTACATCCCTATTAACCATGGATAATAGTGGTTTTATTTCCTGAATTTCTTTGAAATGTGTTTATGCCATGAATATTTACTTTGCAGCCTTGTTTCAGAAAATGTCTGTTACAACACAGAGATTTCATCACTGTCCTTTAATGTCAGTCACATTAGAAGATACATTTATTTTCTCTCGTTACTTTTCGTAGTCTGGTCAGTATTGATAGAGGGATGGGTAAACAGAACAATGGAGCTTTTCCGGCAGACCGCTGCTTCGAGTCCCAAATGAAACAACAAATCAATGTGCAGTTATTCCAATTAAAATCAGTCAGTTCAATAATGCAACGAACATGATTATTATAAGTCAAATCATGATCTCTAACCAACCTTAAAGTACCAGTTGTGTTACCTAAACATAACTGATTTGTTGTGTTGTTTTGTCTTGCTCGCTCCTTGTCTCAATTACACTCTTAATTAAGTGATTTGAACGGTAATCCAGGAGAAAATGTGTTTCCAGAAAAAAGTATTTGAGAGTGCAGTTTAATTGTCGAGGAACTTTTGTAGGAGATAATGTTGTTTTTGGTAAGAAAATAAAGTCTAAATAAAATATAAACAAGGAGGATTTAATTTCTTTAAATACAATTTAAATGCAAGGTTCAGCCCACCACCCTCTCGATTCCAATGATCATGCACAATTTATCTGCTCCAGTCCCAATGTTGCATTACAAAACCTTGATTTATTATTTCTGAAAGGCCACACAACCTTCAATTCACAAAAACGTTGCTGTTTTGATTGGACAAGGAGTTAGAAACTGTTGCTTAGTGACTTGGTAACGATATTTTTGTCTGTTCAGTGATATTTGCTTAAACTCCAAAATGTGGCCAACAAGAGAACATTTATCTTATGAGGACAGAACTGGCAGATCTGACAATGTAATGGCTTGTCTTTGGTGTGAACATTTCAGAAAGTACACCTAACTGGAGAAGGATATTTGCTTTTTCTACAAGACTTTTTTCAGATGACTAACATTATTAGTTTCCTTTTTTGTTCATCATATGCATTAATACACTTCAGAACAGATACCATAGAGAAGCATCCAAGGGAAAGTAATCGTTTTAGAGTAAACAATCTGGATGTTCTCACTGAAATAGAAAAAATAAAGTTGAGTCATGATGTGACAGAATGGAGAAACCTGAACATCCCAGCTGTCTGAGTGACCGGTACATCACAGTCGGTACCAGACCTATTCATAGTGTCCTGTAGAGCACATTGTCCAGAAGTAAACTCATACAACACTTACCTGCCTTCTCCTGCACACATCACCGCTCTGACCCGCAAGCTGTCAAAGTCATGAGACCCTGCAAGCTCCCCTCACCTAAACCCATTAGTTGCCACGCTGCTTTAGAATCTATTGAAGCGTCCCCGTTTTATTGAATATTAGTGGCATTCAACAGATATCAATCTGCGGCTGATGTGATGAAACAAAGATACCCCTGTCTATTTTTTTTCATCTGAAAAACCCAGTGACGTTTCAAGGTTGTTGAGCGGCTCGACACGTAAAGAAAGTAAAAAAATGTATCCGTTTAATAAGTTATTGATCCCAAGCCTTTAGAAACAGAGGATGCCAGTTTTCAGGCAACTGAAGGACAGTCCATCAGCTTTGATTGATAGCATAGGAGAACCCGAGAGGAAGTCCGACAGCATGACAACAATACCTCTGTCCCTGATTTAGGAACACAAATGGAACAACAGAGCACCTCTGACGAACATAGGTAGACGCATAGATGAATCAAGACTCTTCCTTGCATATGCATGACTATATATGCAATATATATAATACATATACAGTATATCTCCACAGAAGAAGGACATCGAAATATGCCTGGCATAATGTACTTTCAGTGAGGCTGGTGAAATCAAATCCCAGCCTTTGATGAATTTACTTTACAAAAGCACAGTGTCCAAAATGGAAAAAATGCCTTATTGAATATGAAACAAAAGATCAGAATACAAAGGACACTGTGCTATGCTAGTTTAGGGACGCTCCTCATCTCCTAAATTGTTCCCAGACCTTGTTAGGTCATCCTCAGTGTGGGGGGGGTTGAGTTGCTCCATGGCGGAGGAGAGTTAAGAGAGGGGGGGGGTGCTAGTGAGACGTCTGGACAGATCCCTCCATCTGCACAGATCCCTCCATCTGCACGTCTGTTCCGAGACGCAACGGATGTCCTCAGACCTGCTCTGCTAGCATCTCCCGCCACCCCCCCCCNNNCCCCCTCTCATCTCTCAGATACGGTCTCCTGTAACCATACGCCACCTGTATAATAGAGGTCACCCTCCTTTCAGATTACACTCTGTACAGTGAATTCTTGGCGGTGGCAAGGATCAGCTAAATCCATTATAGAAAAATGTATTGTACATGCTTGAAAATATATCCAGTATTAATGTTATGCATTTGAAATGAAGGTTTGAGTCTAAATGTGCAAAAAAAGTCTATAGGCCCTGTCATGATTGGGCACAAAGGAGGAACAATGTTATCTGATGCATGTACAATGACATTCAGTCTTAAGCAAAGGTATTAAATGGCACATTTAAAGGAAAAGCCACAGAGCTTTCCTTGTGGTTTTAATCTCTTCTTCTCTCCCCTTAGCTTTTTCCCAAGTTGGACTTTGGGCTCAAGGCGAGGAGCGACTTCTCCATGATTTGTTTGCAAGTTACAATAAGCTGTCCCGGCCTGTGAAAAACACAACTGACGCAGTGCTCGTCCACTTTGGACTGTCCATCGCCCAGCTCATCGATGTGGTGAGTAAAACCACACGGCATTGCTAAGTGCTACCAATAGTGAAACACCGGATACCAGTTTTAAGGTCCAACTGATATTTAAAAAAGTTTCCTTCTTTTACTTATTAGCATTCATATCTGCTCTGTTTAAATATTGTCTTGTGGTCTTCTCTGAGGAAAAAATCAGGAAGAAACATTTTGAAAATTAAATGTTAATGCTGAAACAGCCATGGCCGGAGGCATTATGTTTTTGGTTTGTATGTCAGTCTGTCTGACCCATTCTTGTGAAGGCCTTGAGGAAATGTCTTTATATTTGGCACGAACGTCCAGTTGGACTCAAGGATGAACTGATTTGAAAGATCCGACCTGAATTTGGCGGTCAAATGTCAAGATTCATTTGGCAGCACACATTTTTTGCCACAACTTATTAATTGAATTGCTGATTATGAAAATTACATACAAATACCTTATGATTACAATTTGGACATGGATGTTAACTGCAACTTGGCTGATTGGTTTTGCATTGGTTCCTTTTTAATTTCTTTAGAAAGCAGCTTCACAGTTCTATCATAGGCACCACTACAACATCCAGACAGAAGGCTGTCACACAACACCAGAGCCAAAGACCTCTGATATTAGCTTTCCTGCTAAAGTCTCCCTATAATCCAACTCACAAACATAAACACACATCTTGTCTCACACCTCAGCTTGTGGAACGAGCCACCAAACATGCGTACAAAAATGTGCACTGTTAATGCCAGTTTGCTTGGTGAATAGCCAATAAACTGATCAAATGCAGCATATATAAAACATATAAACTTACCTGCAAATATCACTTCAGAAGCTGTGTGGCCTTATACAATTGGATTTAGTGTTATGAATGTCATGATGTCGGTGCATTGCAGCTGAGTAAACGATACATTTCAATTGTACTCTATCCGTCTCATGTTTTATATTCATTATGATTCATAATGGCAACCGGCTCAAAGCTTAGAGAGATAAATCTAAATACAGATCGCTTATCAGCGGATATGAAAACCACAACAGAATAGATTGAATTATTTTCCCAAATTAAATTCAGTTGTCAAGTATGCTAACACTGGCAGTAAATATTCAAATCCAGCCACCGTTGGTCTAAACAAAAAAACATTTTCATTCATTCTTGTCGTATCGCTGAATTACAGACATTATTATGGTAATAGGTTTCTGTTGACTTAGGTACAAACTGTTTTAAACACTTTAAACTGCTGTGAGCCATGCAAAAATGCCTGGTGCAGCTTCAAGATGTGCAGCCTGCAGGCTTTGGCAATGATTCTATACGTTTTGACACACAATTAGTTGATAGAACATAATCCACATGCCTGACAGTCAGCTCTTGGTGAAGGTGTCTTCTCCAACAGTGGGTTCACACAGACTGCTGTGTGTTAGATGTTGCTGGGAAAAAGCTGGAGATGCCAGAAGTTGCAGCAAAGCAACAGACACAGTGCAGTGAGGGCGTTTGTGCACAAAGGGCTGAAGAATGTGTTTTTTCCCAGTGTATTACACAACTCAATAATAATAATATCTTTATAAAAAGAAGGCCGTGTTGCTGATTTGTGCTATAGAAAGATCAATATCTTCAAAGACCTATGCGAGGATGATGTCCAGACATACAATTTCAAATTTAAAGAAGATGAATGCCAAAATAATGTTCCCTTCCTTTTTAGGATGAGAAGAACCAGATGATGACCACAAATGTCTGGGTCAAGCAAGTATGTCATATTGAAATATAAAACGCATGCTAAAGATACATTCAAATATAAAACTACAGTAAATTACAAATATTTTCGAACAGGAATGGGATGATTACAAACTCAGCTGGAACCCGGAGGAATACGAAAACGTCACCTCCATCCGGATTCCCTCAGAAATCATCTGGAGGCCAGACATTGTCCTCTACAACAAGTAAGGACGTGTCAATAGCTCGTTTTTATGTAAAGAGGATTCTGCTATCTATTACCGGTAATGTATAGCAACAAATGTTTGCATTTTGATGATTTAGTTCCAACAGATGGAAGAGAAGATTTTGTTGTGGTGCCAAACTGTCCATTGCCAATGTTGTTTAGCCAGAATAAATGTGGACAAGGTCAGCCTTAATGGATGTGGTTACAAACTACGCTCAAAACATCACACAAAGCATTACATTAGGCTAAGAATTAGACGATGAAATTTAATTTGGATGGTTTTCAAAGGGCCTCAGATTAAAAGTATCCATGTTCGTGCCTCAGGTAGACCTGTATTTATTTCACTCCACAGATCAATGGATATGAAAAACTGTATCATTATATTCACATCGTTTTACAAATATGATCTAAGGCTCAGTTAGGGCATTGCAACTTCATCGTAAGCACATTTCATATAATATCATATTTGTAAATTCTTCATATAAGAGGATGACTAACAAAATGAGAGGAAATATTATGCTGATTTTGAGGTTAATATTTGTATTTTGTGCCTTATCTGTGACATGTTTAGATGGTTTAATGTTCAAAAAGCTCTTTATTGTTCTGCAGCACCTCTTTGCACACTCATTCAGAAACCAGAGCCCAGTCTGCTCTGATTGGTTAGCTGGACGGCTCTATTGTAATTGGTGAACCACTTAGGCTAAGGGTTGGAACATCTCTATCACGTATAATATCTTGGAGCACTAGCCTATAAAATCGCAAATGTTGCATAGTGATGTTACGAAAGTAAACAAAGGATTCCAATGGAGGCGTTTCAGGCAGGGGGGGAGTGTGTGGGAGATGAACGCCCTCTGGAGAGAACTTTGGGATGTTAGCCTTTGCAGACCATTTACATGCACAAAAACCTATATGACACACTACAGGAAAGGAAAACCCCAAAAAGCATAATAGGGCCTCTTTAACAAACACATTTTCTTTAACCTTTTGCAATTTACGAATTGTTCAGCTTTCTTAGACATGAGAAACTAAATGTTCAGAAGGAGTTATATATGTCTGATTTCAAATCCTACTGAAGATATAGACTAAATATTGACAAAGTCAACTATTTTCTTATATCTGATATATTGTTTTGTTGGTAAAATGCTGATGTTGGTGTAGTCCTGAATTTAGGCCTTGAAACTATAAATACAGCAATATAACTGAATACACTTTATTGCATTACTTTGTGAGACTACATTGACCCTTAAGTGATCGTTTTCTACGTCAAAAACACAATTTTACATTTGGCGAAAAGAAAGAACCCAGGAGGCTGGGCAAGCATATGTCTAAAACACATACAGGCCGAACTAATCTCGATGTGCTGAAGATATTGGCAACAATGTGGACAGATGACTAGGTTAGAAGATGAGCTGAGCGAGAAGTAATGGGTGAGCCTCAGGTGTGTTATGAGAGGGTTCTAACAAAGATGGATCAGACTACAGAGGCGGGAGAGCAGAGAGCAGGATGGGGCAGCTGTCCCCATGACTGTCTTCAGAGATTACATCCCCTGCTTCCAGTATTTTATCTTTGGCACCAAAAACAATTTATTGCGCCAAATTTCTTTTTTTCCTTGTATTCTAAATTGCACAGCACTGCACATCCTATGTTCAGACATGTACAAAATCATAGTACTTTAGTCTCCTTTTATGTTCTGCCATCATTTTTTTAAACATCAGGTCTATAAAACGTAGCTATTTATGCTTTGCACAGAAGGTTTCATTATTTCTTATGTTAATTATTCAAATAAAAAAAAACATTTAGCATGTAGTTACTTAAAGTCAAGCTCGAATTAAGTATTTACGGAATTTTTCTTTAGGACTAAAAAAGTGCTATAATTGTTCTAAGTTGTGTGTTTGCAAACAAGAACATTTTAATGTAAGATTCACGGTCCACTTTAAGTCCTCTGAAATGTATAGCTTGAAGAATTTGGCCAGGAATAACATTTTAATAAAAGCAACTCTTAATAAAGATTTTTTTTTTTTTTAAATCCACTTTCCTCCTCTCTTATGTGCAGCGCTGATGGCGACTTTGCGGTAACTCACCTCACGAAGGCCCACCTGTTCCATGATGGTCGGATAAAGTGGATGCCACCGGCCATTTACAAGTCTTCGTGCAGCATAGACGTCACATTTTTCCCATTTGACCAGCAAAGCTGCAAGATGAAGTTTGGGTCGTGGACCTACGACCGCTCCAAGATCGATCTGATCAGCATGGCCAGCGATGTGGATCAGATGGACTACTGGGAAAGCGGGGAGTGGGTCATTATCAATGCAGTGGGCAAGTACAATACCAAAAAGTACGAGTGCTGCATGGAGATCTACGCGGACATCACTTACTACTTCATAATCCGGAGGCTTCCGTTGTTCTACACCATTAACCTCATCATCCCCTGTCTTCTTATCTCCTGTTTGACTGTGCTGGTGTTTTATTTGCCATCGCAATGCGGAGAGAAGATCACCTTGTGTATCTCCGTCTTACTGTCCCTAACTGTATTCCTCCTGCTGATCACAGAGATTATACCATCCACATCGCTGGTGATTCCATTAATTGGGGAATACCTTCTGTTCACCATGGTCTTTGTCACGCTTTCCATCGTAATTACTGTCTTTGTGTTAAACGTTCATCACCGGTCCCCACAAACCCACGGCATGCCTCATTGGGTGCGGAGAGTATTCTTGGACATGGTGCCTCGAGTCCTCTTCATGAAGCGTCCGCCTGGCACCGCCAAGCAGAACTGCAAGAAGCTCATCGAGATGATGCACCGTCCAACCACCATATCTGCAACGGGCAACTCTCTGGCCTATTGGACAGGGTTAGAGACGGGGTTCAGACAGATGAGCCAGGTAAACGATACCCTTCCAAAGACTCCATCCGACAGTCCAAGCATCCATGTGTGCTCACCCTCCCCACCCTCTTCCCCTCTTGAGAACCACAACGGGAATGATCACCCAATGAAGGCCAACCTTTTCTCCCGCCCTGGATCTGGACAGTATTCGGTTCTCTCTGAGAAACAACCCCTACGGGTTCTCAACTCTGCCGCCTCGTCTTCTTCCCATACGTCCTTACCCCTTACTTTACCAATGTGCCCACTCCGTAGCCTATCCAGGGAAGAAATACACACAATGGCCCCAAATGGTCGTTCCCACAGCGCAGAGCAGATGTCTGACCAACAGAAGGAGCTTCCTCAGAAAGCTGGCCATCGATGTCGCTCAAGCAGCTTCCAGTACTGCTGCCTGCACGATGAAGGACCAGGAATCATGGGAATCGCAGGCTGGGTGAAGAAACAGCCTGCCACAGATCAACCAACAGAACCCCTCAGAGTGGAGCCCGTTAAAGACGTGTGTAGCCAACAGACCCTGGGTCTGATCATTTCCCCAGCCATGCAGCGGGCCATAGAGGGAGTTCAGTACGTCGCTGATCATCTCAGGGCAGAGGATGAAGATTTTTCAGTGAGTTGAAATCATCTTCATTTAAGTAATCATGTAAAATCTTGTTAAACATATAAAGGTTTCTAAATGTTAATGTAATGCTTATATTTCAAAACAATATACACACTATTTGTAGCTATTTATAGAAAGTGCAATCTCCTGAGCACATGCATTAGGGCTGTCCCCAGAGCTTTGCTGGGAAAAAAGAGGATATTATTATATATATTATATCCGCAATTGTATAGAAATGAAATACGAGCACAATCTTCAAGTTTGCAAATTGTTACAAAACTAACTTGCATAACATAATTGAGAATTTCCCTGAGCCAGTGTTCATCAAAAAATTAAGAGCTGGTTGTTAATACTGTAGTTCTCTGGTGATGACAATGTAAATAGTTACATTACTCATCTTTATTTATTTTAAATGCTTATCAGTTCAAATTGATTTTGATAAGGAAGCAGCAAAAGGCTTTTGTCCATACAGTTCTGATTCAGTGTTCATTGTTGAGTCTCTTGAGAAGATTGGAGGTTGGAGTCATACCAATCATACCAAACTTTAAATAAAAAAGGTATTGTATTCAGTGACACCAGCCATTGTTAGTACTACAATACACTGTCTTTATCTAGCCAGAGAACCCCCGTCTTTGGGACAATGGGACCACTTGAATTTGACCTTGAATTTTTCATCAAGAGACGAGACAAAATTGACTGACATTTAGGCGATAGGTGCCTCATAATGAAAAAATCAGCCATTCGAGAGAAATCATCAAGGGTAAAAACTGACATCTGGAAGAAAAAAAAATAGAGAGATTGTGTGGTGTGGAAATAGAAATGTCCCCTCTCTGCTGTGTCTCTTTCCTCTGCTAGGTGAAAGAGGACTGGAAGTATGTGGCCATGGTCATTGACAGGATATTCCTCTGGATGTTTGTCCTGGTGTGTATACTGGGATCTGTTGGACTCTTCCTTCCTCCTTGGCTGGCTGGAATGATCTAGAAGCTCCCCATTGAAGGAAAGAGAGGCAACAAACAATGACTGTCTTGTATAAAAAAAAGAATGGTTTATCATTAACCTTTTCATTTTTTCAGAAGAACTACTAGCCCTACTTCTCAGTCTTGCCCGGGTTATCAAAAGGTTACTCACGGAGAACCGAGTTGAAATAAATTCCATTGATTCCAGCGGGGCATATCAATTCTTTATGAGGGCAAAAGGCCAACAGTGAAAAATATCCTTTCACACCACTCCATTTTGACATTGAGCAGTATAGCTCATGCTGTCACCATAAAGAGAAAATAATCGAGATTGAACCATTTACAACTGCAGAAAAATCAAAGACTCAGGAAGAATATTTTATTTTCTGAGAACGTAAGATGTTTATAAAACTGTATAAGGTTTGGTTTGAATCTACAATAACATTCCTACTTTCAATGATATAGTACCCTGACAATATTCATCAAATATATACGTTTCAGAGCTGCCTGATTTGGCAGCATTTGGTGAATAATCTTTGAAGAATTTGTGTGTGTTCAGGTGTGACGCTTTTTTTGCAGTGGTCATAGTTTAGCCCACATGAAGCTCTCTGATTTTCTAATTCCAGCAGTTAAATTAAACGCATCTATTCAATACTCCTTTTGTCACCAACCAGCACTTTGGTGTTAACAGCAAGGGAATTAAAGTCACTCTCTCCAGTCATGCAAATTAACCTTCCTCGCCTCAAACCTGGCCACCTATTTCCTACTTCTATTGCTTGATAAATGAGTAAAGCAGGAGTGGTGAATATCAATAAATAACTGCCACATTATTTTGGGAGATATTTGTATTTATTATCTTGATTAAAGATAACCAGCCCCTACACTGTATTTTATACCTTGTACAATGGAATCAGATCTGACAGGAAATCAAATGGCTTTAAAAGTGCTGAACATGAAGAAGCAGTCATTGAAGCGCCAATGAGTTGGAGGTTTCAGGCAGTGGCAAGAGTACAAAGACTGATGAAGACACTATTGAATATTTATAAAAAAAGAGAAACTTTTCTGAAGCGATGCCAGGGGGTAAATCGCAAATGTTAATTATCGTCAATATATTACATATTCCAACGTAAAAAATGGGGCATACACATTAGCATACAGAAAAAAGTATGCTATTATTATACATGAGGCTGATTTTTTAAGAGATTTTATAATTGAATTGGTCCAGATTTTTTTTTATAGCATCACATTGTGTTAACTTAGATAGTGCCTGACTTATGCTGCTTTGCTTAATTAACCTTTTCAATATCTGCAAACTTATGATAAGACCATTGATTCTGCACAAAACGGTTACAACTATGAAGCAAAGATGAATTCTACTGCAAGAAAACAACTTGCCAGAGGATAATGGGCTGCATATAGTGGGGAGAAAAACAGGTACAGGGGTGCAAGAAACGAAACGCATTCACTTCAGGTACTTGAACAAAGTCCAGATAGGTGTGATTTTGCAGGAGGTAGCAGTGCACACTTTGGCTGTTCTCTGTGTGCACGTTCATGAGTTTTCAACAAGCTAGCTGAATAATGCATGCATATAATATGGGATCAGTTTATTTGATCTCAAGGATGAAGACAACAATATATTATTCATGTTTTCCAATCATTTGTATATTTGGTCAACCACCGATTTATAGTCTGCCTCTATCTATGCAATATACTAGATTGCTATCAGAATACTGAGTACATTTTAGTTTTTCAACGTTATTTAGTCCATCTTACTGTCAAAATAGGTTAGCTACATATTTATTTACGATTTTCCAGTGTAAGGCTATGATGGTCAATTTAAGAATGTATCAGCAGTCAGGTAAAGATACTTTCGTATTCTCCTTCAGTTTCAGTCATGAAAGTGTTAGGAGTAAATACCTCTTTATTATTCTTTGGGTAAAGGCCAAGTTGAGCTTGATAAACTGCTTTTAAGATTACGGTGTGATTAGCTCATTCCAAAACTGGCAAATTAAAGGGGACATATCATGCTATATTTTAACAATGTATTGTAGGGCCATACCTATATAAAGTATATAAATATAGGTTTTTTTTCAAAATACTAAACAGGTCCTGCATTTTAGCCATGCCTCATTTCGCTCTATTTGCTCTTTCCAGCGCTGTTTTTGCAGGGGCTGATTCTGTGAGCTGCAGCTGACCACGCCCCCCTGCAGGAGCGTGCTTTGAGATCAGCTGCTGGGCTCTCAGAAGAGGGGGAGAAAAAGAGATCTCCGTCCTCCGTGTTTTATTCTTATAGAAGTAAGAAGAGAAGTAACGGGGCAGAAACCCTCCTTTTTACGCAGCGGTCCAGACATAGACGTCAAACGGCGACACATATTCAGTTGCCAGTTACTTTGGCATTAGGCTAGGGATATCTAGATACTTTCCAAGGTTTGACATAATGAATTGTGCTACTTTTAAAGCGAGCAACGATGTATTCAAATCTGTAATCAAAAAGCTCCTCAAAAACTCTATCGAAGCAGTTCCTGCCATTGCTACGTTAGTTCAAACAGTAACAACGGAC